GGGTCGGACTACCTGGAAGTGGTACACCTGCTCTGGTTTGCCCGCCTCTCCGTTTCAGTGTTTTCTCCTCGGGGACCTGGGCTGGGACACAGCATCTCTTCCTACCATAGTCTGTCTGCCTCCAGCACTAGGGCCCACGGTGTTCTGCCTGGAAGCTAGGAAGCTGTGGGCCCTTCAGAGCACCAGGGCACCCCTGCTACCGCCCAGAGAGCACCCCCACCCCCTTCCCCTTGTCGGAGCCAGCGGTGGCGGGAGGGAGAGGGTGCCGCCGCCGGAGTGTGTGCTGCTGCCGCCTGGGACCGAGGACTTACTTCTCAGAGGGATGGTCGGAGCAGGGTGGCTGGCAGGTCCTCCGAGGCTGCCGAACAGGGGACAGCTGCCCAAAAGATGCTGAAGTTTCGGGCCGATCGACGGGTCAGGTAGGGGCGCCCCCCCCACTGCTGGCGCACTTCAAGCCCCATCAGGCCCGAGCAGGAGGAGTTCGCAGCGCTGCTGTTGGGATGCCGGGGCCTGGGAATGAGGGGTCGGCTTGAGGTGGCCTGGCGAGGGAAGAGGAGTTAGGTCAGAGCCTGCTGCATTGCAGTGCTCCGGAAAGGAGGCTGTTTTGAAATTGGGAGCGCCGGGATGGAGCGAGGACGTCATGTGTGGTGGTTGCTGGGTAGAGTCTGAGGCAGGGAAGCTTTGCCTCTCCTTGGAAGACTTGCGAGGTTTGGTAGTGGAGTGTGGGTGAGGGGTGTGTCTTCAGGGAGGGTTCCACTGGAGAGACCCTGGGGAGCATGTGGGGCTAAGGGGGCTGGAGAGTTGGTGGGGAGTAGACAGATGTACTCTGTGCCCCTGGGGAAGCAGACACTTAGGTGGTCCCTAGGTAGGGCAGACCCAGGGGCCAGGGTACCTGCAAGCACCCACCCTTCTACACAGAGACTCCTTGTGGCTGAATGGAAGACAGTGCCCTTGTTGCACAGGGAGGAGCAAGGACTAGAGTCGGGGAAGAGGGGAGTGGGTTGTAGACGGGCTAGAGATAGAGCCCAGGGCTAGTGGTGGACGCTGGTCAGGAGCAGGATCCTAACAAACAAGCCCACCTGTCCGCCTGGGCGGTGGCCACCGCCTACTGTGCATCTCTGTCTTTGGACTAGATCTAAGGGAAGGAAAGCTGAAACAGGTGCTTGTCTTTGGTTTGGGCACATAGACTAAGGGCCGGGTTGTGGGCTGGACGATTGGGAGGACATTTCCAAAAGGTGGTTTATGTCTTTCCTGGGGCTCAAGGGACTAAGCAAAGACTTCTTTCCCCTGGCACAAGCTGCCCTGCTGCGTGGTCAAGGAAAACAGCAGTCCTTTGCTCGAGTGGCCTGGTGTTAGGACCGTGCGCCTGGGCAGCCTCAGCAGGCTGGCCTGGTGCCAGCTTCTCAGGGTAGACTGGTAGTGCCAGGATGCGGGGAGGACAGACCCGCCCGCTCCCAGGAGCTCTCTCCCACAGGGGTTGGCTAAGGAGGTCCTTGAGATCTGTTCCCCTCCCTTCCAGCTGCGTGCTTGGATCACCAGTGCTTTCGTACCCGATGGCCCCTGCTGGGGGAGCCCATCTTAGATGGCCACCCCACTGCGATGTAGCCCCTTGAAGCTAGCCCTGCCCGCCTCTTTCCCGCTCCCGTCTCCCAAGAGCCCAT